GATTGTTAAAAAATAACAGAAACTCACACTATTTACTTCCCTTTTTAACAGAATACCAGCAGCACTGTGACTGTGTTAATGTCCCAGCTCTGCGTTCTTCTACTGGCTGGCATTCTGAGTAAAGCTGCTGCCTGATTTTTTCAGAGTCTTGTGGGACAATCTAGATACCAGTGCTGGGCCACAGGGGGGCAGCAGAGAGCTATTTCCCCCCTATGTAAATAACACATTGCAGCTTCCAATTAACCTTCAGGAAGCTGAACCACCGTGATAGTTTGTTGTTTGGTCTCAGGGTGACATTTCATAGTTTTCCAACTATGGTAATAAATTCCAACACAGCAGGTATCTCTCTGTGACAGTGACATATGTAGATGTGAAAAATATTTAGGCTGACATCTGCTCTGTGTGAACACCCAGCAGAATCAGTGACACCCCCATCCTCGGACCCATCTGATGGTTCTGCTGGGCCCAGATTCTCATGCAGTTTTATAGGCCCTATTCTTGGAGATAGATAAAACACATACAACTATTAAACAGTCAAAACACAGAGAAGGTTTATTGTGTAAATCAGCACAAGTGCATTTTACAACTGGGTAATAAGGCAGTAATCAGAAATTTTTCAAGCTTCTTTACATTCATATGTATGCAGCAAGATATTAACGAAACACAGTGATAACAGTGGGTGCTGTTGAGAAAAGCTGATCTAAACATACATACACTGTACATATACGGTGCCTATAGAAAGTCATCATACCCTGTTAAAATGTATACCGATTGACAAATTAAACCCGGGAAAGTAAAATACATTAAGCCCAGTTTTTTTTAGCTGTAAGTACACATTATAGCCCTCATTGTCAATGTAAAAATGACATTTCAAAACATTTTGTACAATTATTAAAAATCAATTACCGAAATACCTGGTTTGGTAAAGTGATCAGCCCCTCAAAACGTTCTAAACTGGCTCAGATGCAACCAATCAGCTGCCAGATCAAACACTAGGCTAACTGCCCCATCTGACAAACTGTTGGGGTTTTGATTACCTCAAACTATCTTTTGAAGATTTCATTACTAGTAAGGCAAGGTTCCAAAAATCAGCGTAGTTGGGAAGGTGCTTTCAAAAGGCTTCTGGGATAAAATTGTAGAAAGGTACAAGTTAGGAGAAGGTTACACAAACATTCCAGAGGCTTTAGCTGTCCCTCTGAGTGCATCATTACAAAGTGGGAGGTGTGTGGCACAACGAACATGGTGCCTAGATCAGGCCATCTGTCCAAACTGGGTGACCGAGCTGGAAGAACATTGATCAGAGAGGCTACCATTTTCTGACCAGTTGACTTTCTTTTCAATAGTTTGATGTTGTAAAGCAAAATTTGTAACTAAAGATGGTTGAAGCTTTTTTGAGAATGGGTTTTGATTTCAGGCTGTATGACCAAGTAATTTCAAAAGGGTAGGATGACTTTCTATAGGCACTGTACATAAAGAGAGGCTGGTCTGCAGGAGACATGTGACAGACAGACAGACACACACACACACAGAGCAAGTCTCATTGTGGGGACTCATTTTAGTTTTTTTTTGTCTTAATTTTTTGATTGCATTCAGATTTTTATAAAACTGAGTTTTGCCTTGTGGGGAAGTCTTCGGACCCCACAAGGTAGGAAATTCCATTTTTTTTGGTCCCCACAATGTAATAAAAAAAAAAAACACGCACACAGGAGGTGGGACTCAAACCAACAACCCTACTGTACCTACTGAGCTAGAGAAAAGCAGTATTTATACTAAATAAATGAGAAATACACATTATTTTTGTGTATATTGCTAAATTTTAGGGCTGGAGCAGTAAATGTAGAAAAATCTTAGGAAAATCATTTAAAACCACACCTGCATTGTACAATTCAGTATTTTATTTAACACATCTGATTTACCAGTCACTTATCTTTCACTCAGTATTTCTGACACTGTCTTCATACAAAGCGGCTGACAGTCTGTTTACTTTATTAAATTACTATCTCAACTATGTTAATAGGTACGCCATCCACCGCAGCAGCACAGTCTTTAGCCCATATTATATATATATATTAATGAGCAAAAGGAACACAGACGGAGCGGTAAAGCAGAATTACAATATAATGACCGGACTGGAGAAAGAAACGGAAA